ATCTGATATTGTAATAGAACGAAAATTTATCAACTGTTATAACTATAAGGATATAAACAACTTGAAATAAGTGAACCAACCTGTATGTGACTTGCGGACCTCGTGATCCTCATCGCGCATGCTTTCACCCTCAGTCTCGCTGGAACTACTAACAGTACTACTGCTGCTACTGCTTGAGGCGGCGCTACTGCCAGTAATGCTACCGGCTTTTCGGTGACCCCTATACTTAAGCTGGGTGCGTGGGATTGAGGGCAGCGATGGCGGAGCCCCTGTAGTCCCGTAGGATCCACCAAAACTTATCACCCTTGAAATAGATAAAATAAAAATGTAATATAAATTAAAGATGAATATAAAAAAGTTTCAGACACTTTCACAAAAAATCACAATAAAATACTAGTTAAATATAGTAATATACATTGGTCTCAAGGGTTCATTAGAAATCGGAAAAAAATAGACGTCGCAAATGAATAGAACTTACAGTTTAGGGGCTTTTCCAACGGACAAGCCAGAACCGGAATCAATAACAGAAGAAACACGTTGGTGCCTGAAACAATTCAGATACAAAAATATAAATATAAATCAATATAAATAGACAAAATAGCCAGTATAGTGAATAGGATGAACGAGTATAGGAATGGAAATTATTTGTAGCTTTTAGATAGGGAGAGTAATCATGAAGAAACGCTGAGAAGAGGCTTAAATAGCCTCGAGTAGGGTCAGGGCTATCAAACCCCACGATTTAAACATGGTAGTCATACGCTACATAATACCACGTCTAAACATACGCAAGCATTAGGAAATCGTTTGATTGGTTGTTTATGTAAGGAAACGGCTGCGATCGCATCTACTTCTATTTCATGAATTAACTTCACCTATCGTCAAGTCTATAAGGGAAGCATGAAGTAACCATCCACACAATAGAATGTCTCATTATGATCACAAAATTATGTATAAGAAGTGAATAGGATTGTAACTGGCTTTTTCTCTTGGTGCAGTTTTTCATAGAGTATGGTTTCTCGCCCCTACGATGTCTGTGACATGACAAGCGTAAGCTCAGCACGGGTTAATAAGAGTCTCAGTCAATTACCTCAGAAATTGTTAGCACAAA